CTGAGAGAGGGCAAACGTTCACCTGCTCAAATTGGTTGATTGGTTGGTCCGGGATACAATCTGTTTTTGGTCCCGGATTGTGAACTGAATATGTATTGGTCTTCTCAACTGTCTAAAGAGTACCTTACTAATATCATACAGTAGATCATAAATAAGAATCACATTATCACCACTCAATATTAAACATATGTTTATGACAATCCTTTCAATCCTTAAGAGTTCTGTGAACAGTTAGAAATAATTGTATTTCCTCTGGCTCAAACAATTCCTGCCATGCATAGAGCCTCATCACACTTGCATTAATTCTGTTTCTGAGTGGCTTCAACAGCAGTCTACAGCAGTCTACAGCATTTACTAATGGTCTCCCCACATGTTAGCCTGGCGGCCCTGACATCTGTGTGTTTTGCTCATTACTTTTGTTTGCATATAACACATGGAGGTATGATGGTGCGGTCCAAGTCCCCCTCTGTTGTAAAGACGCCCTCGTCTCTTGGCTCTCCTAATATCCCTTCTGGACCACCGACTTTCAACTTCATTTGTAAAGTAAATATTTGTCTGGGATTAGAGTGTGTCGTTGCCACTTGTCAGAGCTGGGCTTGAAAGTGTTTATGAGCTTAAGGGTTGTTTTTGTGGCATTGCTATGTTTGACATCTCTCGCCTCTTCAATGTTTGTTGTTTGTTGTGATTGTCATTTCACTGTAAATCTCCAATGAAGTAAATCACCATGACTAAACTCAAATAGACTAAATCAAAGGTGTTAGCCTCCATCTGTTCTGGAGCCACAACATGGGTTGCAATAGCGGATGGTAGAGGAGAGTTTCATTGAACCAAACAGCAGACACTTCATTTTCCCATGACTATCCATGACATATTATGTTAAATCAATTTTATTTGTCACATGCGCCGAATACAACTGGTGTAGACTTTACCGTGAAATGCTTAGGAGCCCTTCCCAACGATGCAGTTTAAAAATAATAATAATAAAAAAAGTCAAATAGTAACAAGAGGAATAAAATAAATACACAAAAATGGAGCTATATACAAGGAGTACCAGTACCAGATAAATGTGCAGGGGTACAAGGTATTTGAGGTAGATATGTACAGTGGGGGAAAAAAGTATTTAGTCAGCCACCAATTGTGCAAGTTCTCCCACTTAAAAAGATGAGAGAGGCCTGTAATTTTCATCATAGGTACACGTCAACTATGACAGACAAAATGAGGAAAAAAAATCCAGAAAATCACATTGTAGGATTTTTAATGAATTTATTTCCAAATTATGGTGGAAAATAAGTATTTGGTCAATAACAAAAGTTTTTCAATACTCTGTTATATACCCTTTGTTGGCAATGACACAGGTCAAACGTTTTCTGTAAGTCTTCACAAGGTTTTCACACACTGTTGCTGGTATTTTGGCCCATTCCTCCATGCAGATCTCCTCTAGAACAGTGATGTTTTGGGGCTGTCGCTGGGCAACACGGACTTTCAACTCCCTCCAAAGATGTTCTATGGGGTTGAGATCTGGAGACTGGCTAGGCCACTCCAGGACCTTGAAATGCTTCTTACGAAGCCACTCCTTCGTTGCCCGGGCGGTGTGTTTGGGATCATTTTCATGCTGAAAGACCCAGCCACGTTTCATCTTCAATGCCCTTGCTGATGGAAGGAGGTTTTCACTCAAAATCTCACGATACATGGCCCCATTCATTCTTTCCTTTACACGGATCAGTCGTCCTGGTCTCTTTGCAGAAAAACAGCCCCAAAGCATGATGTTTCCACCCCCATGCTTCACAGTAGGTATGGTGTTCTTTGGATGCAACTCAGCATTCTTTGTCCTCCAAACACGACGAGTTGAGTTTTTACCAAAAAGTTATATTTTGGTTTCATCTGACCATATGACATTCTCCCAATCCTCTTCTGGATCATCCAAATGTACTCTATCAAACTTCAGACGGGCCTGGACATGTACTGGCTTAAGCAGGGGGACACGTCTTGCACTGCAGGATTTGAGTCCCTGGCGGCAGAGTGTGTTACTGATGGTAGGCTTTGTTACTTTGGTCCCAGCTCTCTGCAGGTCATTCACTAGGTCCCCCCGTGGGGTTCTGGGATTTTTGCTCACCGTTCTTGTGATTATTTTGACCCCACGGGGTGAGATCTTGCGTGGAGCCCCAGATCGAGGGAGATTATCAGTGGTCTTGTATGTCTTCCATTTCCTAATAATTGCTCCCACAGTTGATTTCTTCAAACCAAGCTGCTTACCTATTGCAGATTCAGTCTTCCCAGCCTGGTGCAGGTCTACAATTTTGTTTCTGGTGTCCTTTGACAGCTCTTTGGTCTTGGCCATAGTGGAGTTTGGAGTGTGACTGTTTGAGGTTGTGGACAAGTGTCTTTTATACTGATAACAAGTTCAAACAGGTGCCATTAATACAGGTAACGAGTGGAGGACAGAGGAGCCTCTTAAAGAAGAAGTTACAGGTCTGTGAGAGCCAGAAATCTTGCTTGTTTGTAGGTGACCAAATACTTATTTTCCACCATAATTTGCAAATAAATTCATTAAAAATCCTACAATGTGATTTTATGGAAAAAACATTCTCAATTTGTCTGTCATAGTTGACGTGTACCTATGATGAAAATTACAGGCCTCTCTCATCTTTTTAAGTGGGAGAACTTGCACAATTGGTGGAAGACTAAATACCTTTTTTCCCCACTGTATATAAAGGGAGGGTAAAGTGACTAGGCATCAGGATAGATAATAATAAGAGTAAAATAAAGAACAGAGTAGCAGTAGCAAATGATGAGTGTGAAAGTGTGTGTGTGTGGTATGTGTGTGTGCGTATGTAGTGTATGTGAATGTGTGTGGGTTTTGTGTGGGAGTGTCAATGTAGTCTTTGTGAGTGAGTGTGTATAAATAGTGTGTATATTTTGTCTAGTGAGTGTGCGTAGGATCAGTGCAAGATAGAGTCAGTACAGATAGCTCGGGAACCATTAATTGACTATTTAGCAGTCTGGCTATTTAGCAGTCTTATGGCTTGGGGGTAGAAGCTGTCTCGGAGCCTGTTGGTCTGAGAGCCGATGCTCCGGTACCGTTTGCCAGACGGTAGCAGAGTGAACAGTCTATGGCTTGGTTGGCTGGAGTCTTTGGCAATTTTTTGGGCCTTCCTCTCACACCGCCTGATATAAAGGTCCTGGATGTCAGGGATAACACTGTCTACTTCAATAAAGACCTTAACCCCTTGACTTCTCATGGTGGATGGAGACAGTGTTTTTATGTTGTTTGAGGAACTCTGTCTGAGTTTGGTCCTGCCCAGGTGAGGGGCTAGTGTCTATGCTACTCACAGCTGGACTTTTGTTCTCTGGGTATGTGTGGGTCTATGAGGCCACCTAGAGAATGTGCCAGCTTCCGTAATGCACCTGCCCTAGCACCTGACCTTGCCCAACAGATGAGGTGAGCTCATCGGACTCCAAAGCGCTCGGTGGAAACATTCCTTGGGTATGAAACCTCGTCTTCCACATTGGGCATGCATCCCTTTCACGGGCTCTCCTTGCTCTCCTGTCCTGCTGGGGAGGAAGTGTGGCACTCCGGCCCAAGCAGCACATGGGTATATGTAATCTGTTTACGGATTGGATGTCATGTCCCACTTACCTCTGAGTAAACCCTGTCGTTATTGGGTGATCAAAGCAGTGACATCAGCCTGGCTGGGCCGGCTGTTTGTTTTCACATGGAGTCTGGCCCGGTTGTGATGACTGAAAGCAGACTTCCGATTTAGTCAGCTTCAACATCTGGGAGAGGGCTATGATGTCAAGTTGTGTGCCTGAATCCCATTATGTGTGAGATTAGCACACAACCAGCCTCTGTCCAGAGGGCCAGACTACAATCATTAGCTATGATATATTATATGTATATAGCTACAATATAGGGTAATGTAATCCGAGGCTATGGGGGACTGAAAGTGACCAGCGTACAGTACAAGGGGGGAACACCCCATTGTTTTGTGTAAATGAAGTAAACGGTTGTCCAGGTTCTCGTTTGAAAAAAGGGAAAAATATGTTTCTTATGAGTCTCTACAAAAAGAGGGGTAAGATTCTGTAATCTCTTTTTACATTCCATGGAATCTGTTCAGATCTTTCCAGTAAACACTGCAAAGAAGCAGTTTTCCCTTCCAGTAAGTCTTAGCCCTTACAATAGCACCTCCTCATCGATCACTTTTTCACAATCCCACATTTGGACTTGATATAACATTGTTCTTTTGGTTTTTTAGCGGCCACAACATGTTTGAAGTTGGGGTTTGGGATGGGCAGTATAGCCTGGAGAGAGGGGAAGCCATAAACAACTGGACTGATGGGAAAAAGGAAATGAATTATCCCATTTGGACATGGATGAATGATTCCAAAGCCTGAGGGCCGTATAGCGCAATCAGACAAGAGGATCTGTGTAAAGACACATTACGTGAAACGTCAATAACTTTAGCTGAAATATATCACTGTGGCGTTGCATCAACTGGATAACTTGGGATATGCAGCAGGTGCAAAACGAACAACAATCTAACACAGACAAATGTTTCAATCGATAGAAAGAAAACATGCCCATCTGCACATCTTGATGGATTAGTTCTGTTTTGGCTGGTGGCTCCACGCAATCAATGTCACTTTTAATTAATACTAAATTAAACCTGTTAGCATCAAGATAAGCTAGATGATACTATATTGATACCATAATATATTATGGACTTATATTCAAGTCCAATACTTTATTACACAAATAGACCTATAGAGATGGTGAACAACATAAGGGTTTTTCGCCTAACAAAATGCATATGTTAGAATTGTAGCTATAGGTTTCGATCATATTACATTATGAACAATTCCATAGTGCAACATAAGGGTTTTTCGCCTAACAAAATGCATATGTTAAAATTGTAGCTATAGATTTCGATCATATTAAGTTTTGAACAATTCCATAGTACACAGTATGGCCTTGGGCATTAGGCTACAGTATGTGTCTCACATTAGATGCCTGGATAAAAGAAGCCTGGATCTGTGAGATAAAATGGAGAGCATTTCCAGAGAGAAGAGGCCCAGAGAGGATCACTGGAGTTCTAGTACGTTCATCTGAAGGTTATTCACCACATTATTTTGGGGGGGTTTAATCTGACAGGAGACTGAATGCTTAAATCAGAACCACTCCTCCCGACAATGTTCCTTCCAGATATCTTTCCCCTTCTCCTAGGTGGTCCCAGATCTGTACTGTCTGCATAGCTCCATTCCACCACCTATGTTTAACATTCAAGGTGTGTGCTTTGAAGCAATCAATCAATCCACCAATCATTCCACTTCAGTTTCATTGGTAAACATTTTTTCTCATCATATGTTTGTCAGAAAAGCAACCTATTTCAAGCTTAAAAACCTTCAGGAATTGGGTGTTCTAAGTGAATCCAGGGCAGGCTGAAAGGCCATTTATTGGAATACAGGTTGAAACTCCACAGGAGACCCCCAGCCAGACTGGTGGTAAAACAGCCAGTCAATGCCGGTAATTACAGTAGCAAAGCCCATAGGACCTGTGTGGAAGCAGTCCCCTTATCCCTGGCTAGAAAGGCACTCATCCAGAAAGTCCTGCTGGAATGGGACACGATAGTTTACTAACTGGTGGTGGTCCAATCTAGAATGGACATAATTATATGACCACGGTATACTCTGTTCAAGACTGATATACTGTAGGTGAGGCTTAACTCTTTGTGTGATGAAGAGACATTCAGATAAAGATTTAACACTAGAACATGTGTGATGCACTCCATAACTTTGCATTTAGTAATTGTTAACTCTAGAAATCGAAAATGTAGACCACACTACTATTACCTTTGACCACCATCTTGTGGTTACATGCAAAACTACAACAGGAAAAATGTAAATCATTATAAGCATCTGGAATTTGCTGTGGTAACATGTAGTTTGAAGTTGCCTTGCCTTGCCACTACATTAAGTAACCATACACAGCTGTTTGTGAATTTAAACATGGACATGCTGTATGAAATTAAAATAAATACCATAATTCCTCAACTGAAACAGAGAAGGAATGTACCTGTCTCCACTTTAGAGTGGTCTGTCCTCTCTGTCACCTTCTCCTGGCTGATGAGGTAATCAACGATCCGCACCCCGATTAGTGGCTCAGTGTGATTCCATTCCATGATGACCAACGAACTGCTGGGCTCATAGGAGTGGGACAACCTGAGCCTGATAGATAAAATAAAGAGAGTGACACCTAACTAACTCATGAGAAGACAAGCTCATCTTTAGATATCGATACATACAATCTTATTTGTGTTTATCAAGTTGCGTAAACGGATTGTTTTGCGTGACTAACCTAGGCTGGGGGAGAGGGGCACATGTTGGCAGGCCGTCCGTCCCAAATGCGTTCGAGTCGCAACGGCACCAGTCATCGATGACGTCACCTTTCCCAGAACACCACAGCATGCTCATCATGGCCTCCTGCAGTGCCTGCAAAGAGACAGAAAGATGGAACAAACACTGTCAATATCATACACAACCTGAGCCTTGGCATCAATATCATCTGCCCCTCTAGTGGGTCATGCAGTCATCCCCTAGTTCAGCGATTCTTAACTGGTGGATCAGAGGTTTTGAATGGGTTGCGGTGTCGGTTTTTCTTTAATGAAAAAATACTTAAACGACTAAATCCTGGTAGAAAGTGATGAAATAATATAGTATCTAAAAAAAAAAAATGTATCACAGTATATCAATATAGAGCTATTAGCAGCGCTATTTAGCGGATTTGGTTGATGTTGTGGTCTCAAACCAGTGAGCTTCCTAACATTCTTAATCAAGAGTATGGGCAAAATTGAATTATTTCCTATTTTACATTGTCATATAATTGCTACATTTACTATCAATAAAGCATTAAAAATAGTTTTCCAGATTGTATTTTTGCGGGGGGGTTTCATGATGCGAATATTGGGTTGCGACTGAGACAACCTGGTTCAATTTGGGTCCCGAGGCAAAACCAGTTGAGAACCACTGCTCTAGCTTATCTTATCACAGTCTGACATACTGATGTAGGCATACACCACACAATTTCTCAACATTTTCATGTCGGAGAGCAGCACATTTTGCGACCGCCATTGCCAAACATCTAGCCTATGTGTTTTGCTGTGGTACTCTCACTGCATGATTAAATGTATAAATTGACATCAAATTATTGGTGGTGAATGTTCTTTTATGCTCTGAATAAAAAAATCTGAAAAGCACATCTGAGGTTGTTTGTTGCAGGTGCATGGGAATAATTCGATGATATCTTCAAAGACAAAACAATGTGCACACTGCTCTTGGCAGTATCACTTTCGTTTATTTACGCTTTTAGGAATTCACTCTGATCATGAAGATTTCCCTATGTCTGCAAAAATGTGTGAAAAAGAGAGTAAACCAAGGTTTTCAGTGCCTGGTAGGTCTCGTTGTTGGAGACCAGCTCATAGAGCGGGGTGGCCTTAGTCATCTGGAGCAGGACAGGCTCGGCTGGACGCCCAGGCCCAGGGCTCATGTGGCAGAGGTGGCAGGAGTACGGGCACTGGCCCTGGCTGCTGCAGTCCATGCGCACCCCCACCGCCATGCGCTTGGCACCAGAGTCCAGCAGGCTGGCGATGTATGCTGGGTAGGTCAGGGTCCGGGGCTCCTTGTCGCGCTCCTCAGACTCTTCTGATGGGGAATTCCCTGAAAAGGGCATAGTTATAGTTACTGTGGGCTTTGGATATTAGGATTTATCGACATAACTGAATAACACATATTGTTACAAACAACATTTGAAATCTTGTCAGCATTTACAAAATAGAGAAGTTATAGGTGTCATTTTTTAGTAGAAATGTGAGTTATCATCACGGTTCACTTAAACAATAATGCCCGATAGGGTGTGGTATATGGCCAATATACCACGGCTAAGGGCTGTTCTTACGCGGTATATTGGCCATATATCACAAACCCCTGAGGTGCCTTATTGCTATTATAAACTGGTTACCAACATAATTGGAGCAGTAAAATAAATGTTTTGTCATACCCATGGTATACGGTCTGATATACCACGGCTTTCAGCCAATCAGCATTCAGGACTCGAATCACCCAGTTTATAAATTCGGCTATATATCGGATATACAGTTGAAGTCGGAAGATTACATACACCTTAGCCAAATACATTTAAACTCAGTTTTTCACCATTCCTGACATTTAATCCCAGTAAGAATTCCCTGTCTTAGGTCAGTTAGGATCACCACTTTATTTTAAGAATGTGAAATGTCAGAACAATAGTAGAGAGAATTATTTATTTCAGCTTTTATTTATTTCATCACATTCCCAGTGGGTCAGAAGTTTACATACACTCAATTAGTATTTGGTAGCATTGCCTTTAAATTGTTTAACTTGGGTCATACGTTTTGGGTAGCCTTCCACAAGCTTCCCACAATAAATTGGGTGAATTTTGGCCCATTCCTCCTGACAGAGATGGTGTAACTGAGTCAGGTTTGTAGGCCTCCTTGCTCGCACACGCTTTTTCAGTTCTGCCCACAAATGTTCTATAGGATTGAGGTCAGGGCTTTGTGATGGCCACTCCAATACCTTGACTTTGTTGTCCTTAAGCCATTTTGCCACAACTTTGGAAGTTTGCTTGGGGTCATTGTCCATTTGGAAGACACATTTGCGACCAAGCTTTAACTTCCTGATTGATGTCTTGAGATGTTGCTTCAATATATCCACATAATTTTCCTTCCTCATGATGCCATCTATTTTGTGAAGTGCACCAGTCCCTCCTGCAGCAAAGCACACCCACAGCATGATGCTGCCACCCCCGTGTTTCACGGTTGGGATATTGTGTTCTTCGGCTTGCAAACACCCCCTTTTTCCTCCAAACATAACGATGGTCATTATGGCCAAACTGTTCCATTTTTGTTTCATCAGACCAGAGGACATTTCTCCAAAAAGTACGATCTTTGTCCCCATGTGCAGTTGCAAACCGTAGTCTGGCTTTTTTATGGCGGTTTTGGAGCAATGGCTTCTTCCTGGCTGAGTGGCCTTTCAGGTAATGTCGATATAGAACTTGTTTTACTGTGGATATAGATACTTTTGTACTTGTTTCCTCCAGCATCTTCAAAAGGTCCTTTGCTGTTGTTCTGGGATTGATTTGCACTTTTCGCACCAACGTTTGTTCATCTCTAGGAGACAGAACGCGTCTCCTTCCTGAGCGGTATGACGGCTGCGTGGTCCCATGGTGTTTATACTTGCATACTATTGTTTGCACAGATGAACGTGGTACCTTCAGGCGTTTGGAAATTGCTCCCAAGGATGAACCAGACTTGTGGAGGTCTACCATTTTTTTCTGAGGTCTTGGCTGATTTCTTTTGATTTTCCCATGATGTCAAGCAAAGAGGCACTGAGTTTGAAGATAGGCCTTGAAATACATCCACATTTACACCTCCAATTGACTCAAATGATGTCAATTAGCCTATCAGAAGCTTCTAAAGCCATGACATAATTTTTTTTTTTAAAGGCACAGTCAACTTAGTGTATGTAAACTTCTGACCCACTGGAATTGTGATACAGTGAATTATAAGTGAAATAATCTGTCTGTAAACAATTGTTGTCATGCACAAAGTAGATGTCCTAACCAACTTGCCAAAACTATAGTTTGTTAACAAGAAATGTGTGGAGTGGTTGAAAAACTGTTTTTAATGACTCCAACCTACGTGTATGTAAACTTCCGACTTCAACTGTATCCACATTTGCATTTCCCTCAAAACTGGCACTGCATTCAATTATATTTATTATGCTGTCCTCTCAAATGTACTTTGGGCAGTGCTGGCCTGCTGGCATCTTCCAAGACATCTCTGAAGAGCAAGTTGCATTATTAAATGCAAAGCTTTGCCACTTTTTCTCTTAAAAAGCATTTAAATTACCATTCCTTCATACTGTTGAGTCGTGTGCATACACAGGCAATTTATAAGCTCAACAGGCAACTTGGGAATAGCCAGTTGCTGGGAGCTGGCTTTGATGAAACGAGACATGGCTTTATGAGCCAACCGGGTGAGGGGGTGAAATACACACACAAAGTCACCCTTTACTCTCCCACATAATTTACATCATAATGTAGTCCATACCTTAGATTGGGCTCGAGATATAAAACTAAATCAGAATACACACCTCACTTTGCTTGTATATCAATGAATAAGAGCAGATGGCCATCACTCAAACAAGAGGACAGTAAGGCACATCACTGCACTCAGTTCAAGCTTTCAGTGCCAAGTGAGTTCTAACGTGCTACAACATCATTCAACTTCCATAATAATTAGATACGATCAGAAAGATGGGGTTTGCCCATTGTTATTCATAGATCACATTGTCCTTAAAGTGTGACACACATGACAATGGTGGGCTTGTCATGGGCGTTTGGTCCGGGCCTGGGGGCAGTTTGAGTGACTAAGCTCAGCTAATCATATCACGTATGTACTTTATATGCTGCTGATCAACTAGCAGGGCACGTCGGTCGTCATCAAGTCGTGACAAGCTGGACCTCTGGTGGGTCGCCGGTCGTCCCAAATGGCACCCTATTCCCTATTTAATGGCACCCTATTCCCTATTTAATTTAGAGCCACTATAGAGAATTTGGTGCCATTTGGGACGACCATGGTCAGGCCTGAGGGGGTGCGGTGGCCCTGTGTGGCTCGTGACAGGGCTTGATTAATCAAAGAGAGAAGTGGGAAATTAGGGTCTGTGCCTGGCACCATAGCATGTACTCTGTCCATGTCAAACACAGCTGCTGAGAGACTCGGGTCACATCTGACCGTTTTCACGAGACATGCAGGATGTTAACGGTGGCAGTTTTATAAGGACAACTTGAGTTAGGAGGATGGCCTTGACTTTTAGGCTCTGGAATAAAATAGTGGAGCAATGCTTAAGGAAATCGACTCACAGAATCACTCTGGATAAATAAATGATGTTTATTGTCCCTCAGGATGGAGAACAAAAACACATTAATACACAACAATGTATACATTTTAAACACTCTCTCTCTTACGTGCACACACACACACTCACATATGTCACGCACGCATGCACACACACGCCATTTTGCTTTGACATACTGCTCCACCTCATCACCCAGACAGTTATGTGGCAAACATAATTAATATCAAGATAAGGCTGCAAAGACAAATCACTTTCAAGGAAAGGAGAAAACATCCCATTAAATTCCATACATTCCATTCAGGGTCTCGGGATGAGAAAGCGGAGGAAAATCCTGTCATCTGCAGCCCACCCAAATGAGAAACTTTTAATCTAAATTGTGTCGGATGCTTCCCGTTTCTGACAGTCAGATTGGTACCAATTACAAGATTTTGGGAAGGTGATGATTTGAAGATTCTTTGACACAGTATAGAACAGACAGAATGTGTCATCACTCCAGAACAGTTGGTGTTCCAGGGATACAATACTTTTCCTCCCACATAGAGAAATACTCTCAGATCAACACTAGGTGATGCTATAGTCAGTGTTTCTAGCAGCATTACAGGATATAAAAAAATAACTACTGATCATATCACTGCAGATTCTTTTGTACACCATATACTAAGGGAGGAAATAATAGGGGAATCTTTTACATTTTGTGGATAATAGATGCTAATAAAAACATTGTTATTATGATTTCCAGCTGATTTACGCATCACAGAATTAAAAAATACTGTACAGTAAAGCTACAAAGTCAACACAGAGCACTGGGTGGGAAAATCATATCAAAGGGAGTTTTAAAATGTCATATACTGTTTGAAAAATATCACTAAAATCTGACTACATGCAGTGAGCCATGCGGTACCTACAGAAAGCCGTGCGGTACCTCCAGAAAGCAATACTGCTACACAGTGCATCCCGACCAGGAACAGAATACATTGGAGCTCTTAAACAAATCTCTGTGACGGGCAAATCTTCCCAGGCAGACGTTGCTTGTACTTGATAATATACAGTGGCACACTGTGCTACACCTATACGCAGCTAAGCAAAATGCAATAAAACAGACACCCACTCTGAGTGGCAATCCACTGTGATATTCAACCTGACTGCTAAGACAGTGGATTGTGAATACCTTTTTCCCCACCAGTCAACACCTACCTACCAAGCAGGTGTGGAAGGGTAAAAGCTCTCAATGGGACTACATAGGCCTAAACCATATGGATGGCCTGCATCTGGGATAGTAAAACAGTACAGGGTATTTACATGCTAATGTTAAGCCTATGCCTTCAGTCACTCCAGCCTACTTGGCCAGCGAACCTTTCAAGCTTTCTGAAGTTTGATTCATCTCTGCACTTTAGCTGGCTGGGCTGGCAATGTGCTTAACTAACAGCCTTCTCTGGCCCTTAATAGAAGCTGTAGCCACGGCTCTTTGCAGCGCCGGTGAAAGTGCCTGTGTTTATTTACCGTTGATTGGGCCTGCCCACGGACGCACCACATTATAGTGACATCTTGTTCATGGACTTTGAAGGGGACTAATGCATCTGTCGGTCCTCAAATCCCACCAACACCTCCCTATACGTTGGTCTGTTAGGCAGGCCTGAGTTTGCAACGGTCTGAATTTAAGGCAATTTACTGAGGATTCACCTCCAGGTGAGACATTATACTGGGGTTGCATCACAGCCGTACAAATGCTCAAAGGGATATGTGCACAGTGGGAGGACTTTTTAGATTTTTTGTATT